GTACATACAATTGAAAACAAGTATTTATTATAACAAAAAACGACTATACTAAAATCCTAATCAACTACAAAATCATCGAAATTAACTACAAATTATCGAAATCAGCTACACCAAGACAAATGTTTTTGAACAGCAGGAATAGTAAAACCAACTACATATCGGGAAAAACTCAAAACCACACATATATCTTTAATGTCCAGTTTTTAAGAAATGTTGGGGGAGAAATGTCACCCCCTAACTCTATGTTGTCTCTACCACTTCCTGAAACTAATAGTCCATTAAAACTCTATCCGAATAACGTATCAAATGTATTATCCCGTTAGAGTTTCTAACGATGTTTCAGGGGTGATTGTAATTATTTATACCACAGGGACCTTAAAGTTATTTTAGCGTACCTCAAGGGTGTATGTGTAATTTACTCTTTTGGGAAAACTTATGTTGTGAAAATCTTAACTTTAAATTAAGAGTTTTTTTTTCTACAATAAGTAAATATATAATGAAGAATAAGAAATAAGAATTATAAAATAGAAAAAGTACGGAGAGGTTTATAAATTTGTGTTTTGAGTTTTTACTTCATTTATATATTATTTTAACATTAAAAAATAAGAATTACAATTAAATACTTCTAATAAATTCTTTTTTTTTTTAAGAAGTCGATTGGCCGATATTTCCCGACCAATCGATTTTGGGTTAAACTGAAAAGCACCGACCGACCCATTTTGACGCAGAACGAAAGCACGGTAAAGAATTAATTTCTACGAATTAATCCTATAGAACAAAAGAACATTCGGAATCCACCGAAAACTCTGGAATCCACCAGAAAATAGAGAAAACTCTAAATATTTTATTAAAATTCGAAATTCTTCTCAAAATAAAGTCCTAAGGCAGCTATTTATACTAAAAAACTGAAAACCCTAATTAAACTAGGAAAGTAATAAAAAATACCAAAAATGGCAAAAACGAGTTAGAGTCTGATTCTAGTAGATCTCATAATTTTGGAAACAACCCAATTTACGGAATCCTAATCCGATTTTTCTATGATTTGATATTAATTTTCTAAAACTTGCCTAAAATAGCAAAAACGAACTTTTAGGAGTCTAAACAACGTTGGATTGCTGAAATTTGACGTGATTCATGAGCTTTTCTCATTAGTTTTGTTCCTTGCGCCGTTTCACTTGAGATAGAGTTCGTTTCGTACTCAAATACAATTTGAGTTCGTAGAAAACCCTTATTTTTCCATAATATCTTTCGATATTTTCACCAATGTCCATTAATAACTCTTCTCCGAATTAAATAGTTATTTTGCATTTCGAATTCAATTTGACGTTCCTTATCAATCTCTTCTTCTTCAAAAGAGCTCGACCTCGAGCTATGATCAAAATATAACGATGCATATTTCTTTGCAAACAACTTCAAGTGCTCCACCAATCTTCCCGGCACAAAAATCTCGCTTATAAAATCTTCCTCCAAACGAGGCATTAGAAAAATTGGCTTCTTAATCGAAAATCCCAATGGCTCCACCAATTTCTCCAATACAAGAACTTCACAGCAAACATCTACAATTAGATCACATACCTCACTGCAATCCACTTGTCCCTTCTCTTCTCGTGCACCTTCCTCTTCTTGAACAAACTTTACAACTTCAAATTCTTCCTCAAATTTGTTTTTAACACCCTCTTTAAACTCATCAACTCCCTCTTCAACCTTGCTAATGTTCTCTTCTACCATGTTGACGCTCTCTTCGACTTTGTTGATGTTGTCTTCAACCTCGTTGACTCTCCCTTCAACTTCATCGACTTTCACCTTGATTTCGTTAATGTCATCGTTAATCATAGCTACGCTAATTTAACTTTTGCATCAACAATTTCGTCTTCAACTTCATTAACTCCTACGCCATGATCCTCCACCAAACTGGGTGCTTGAATAACGAACGAAGTATCTTGTACCTCCTTAACTTTGACAACGGGTGGAACATCTTCGGTTTTTCTAGAAGAACTATTTCGCTGATAATATTCCTCCCCCCATGCTAACTCTTGAGCCTCTTCAAGGGTGTAGAATGTACGCCACCCCATCCTAAGACGTATTGAAATATTCAATCCTGCCAAGTACCGTGAAATTTCTGTACTTTCGGATTCTTGCAGGTTATTTAAGTTTGCTAGTCTCATAAACTCAGCAGTATACTTGTTAACAGATCTACTCCCTTGCGAACAATTATGATATAGTTGAAATAGACGTTGCTCATAACCTAGGGATAAAAAACGATCCATCAATATTTTTCTCATCCTCCTCCATGATTGGATTGGAACTTTTTCTTGTCTAGCTCTCTTCCACTTTATCCCATCCCACCATGCGGCTGCACTACCCTCTAACTCGCACCCACCAATTTTACCATCTTATTCGGAAAAATATCCATCAATTCAAAATATCTTTCGACTTCTGATACCCAATCGATAAAATCCTCAACTTCAACAAAATTTCCACTAAAAGAAGGAATTTCTGCTTTTACCCGATATTTATCACGATCCTTTTGCCTCCTTATAGGCGGGGTTTCTTTAAACTCAGAGTTGCCGCTCACCTTTGAATAGTCTTCATATCTTGATTGAAGTTGAACAGATCCATGATAATTGTGTCCAACATATGCACCTCGGGCTACGCCATCGGCAATCATCATGTTAGATTCAATCCTTCCGTTGTTGTTGACAAGGGCAAATCCCTCGCGCACCCACCGTAGATTTCGCAGTTTTTCAACCCCGCGGTCATCGTCAACGTAGTTGTTGTCTCCATGTTTCGCACTTTTCGCCATCTAACCAGGAAAAACTTCGCTACTAATGCCAACTGACGCATAACGGAAGCACGGTAAAGAATTAATTTCTACGAATTAATCCTATAGAACAAAATTACATTCGGAATCCACCGAAAACTCTGGAATCCACCAAAAAATAGAGAAAACTCTAAATATTTTATAAAAATTCGAAATTCTTCTCAAAATAAAGTCATAAGGCAGCTATTTATACTAAAAAACTAAAAACCCTAATTGAACTAGGAAAATAATAAAAAATACCAAAAATGGCAAAAACGAGTTAGATTCTGATTCTAGTAGATCTCGTAGTTTTGGGAACAACCCAATTTACGGAATCCTAATCCGATTTTTCTATGATTTGATATTAATTTTCTAAAAATTGCGTAAAATAGCAAAAACGAACGTTTAGGAGTCTAAACGACGTTGGATTGCTGAAATTTGACGTGATTCATGAGCTTTTCTCTTGAGTTTTGTTCATTGCGCCGTTTCACTTGAGATAGAGTTCGTTTCGTACTCAAATACAATTTGAGTTCGTTAAAAACCCTTATTTTTCCATAATTTCTTTCGATGTTTCCACCAATGCCCATTAATAACTCTTCATCGAATTAAATAGTTATTTTGCAATTCGAATTCAATTTGACGTTCCTTATCACATTTATATATGAGTCGGTTAAAATTATCGGCCAAAAAAATTATCGGCCGAAAGAAGCGGGTCGAAAGTGGGTCTGTTGGCTGATAAAACCGACCCATGGCCAACCCTATATTTACCATGCGACGCACTTGTATACTTACTACTATTAAATTTATTTATTTATTTTTACATAAGAACCCTAAAAGAAGGGGTAAAATTCAAAATCATCCCTGAGGCTTGCACTTAACTTCAAATTCATCCCTGAGGTTCTATTTAACTTCAATTTCATCCTTCCAACGCTCGTTTCACCGCCAAAATTGAAGAAGATAAAAAAAAATATACCAAGACGGCCCTTTAATAAAAATTGTAGATTTTAAACATCTATTTTAATAAATTGTTATTGAAACTCCTTTAATTATGTTATTAATTATGCAATTTATGTGGGCTATGAGTAATATTAATTAGTTGAATGTGTATCATTAGAAGATGAACGGGAAAAAAATGACAAATTTACAATTGCTCAAATTTATAAATTCGAATATATATATAAATATTTAATTTTAATAAGAGTTCATGTTAAAAAAAATCAAATTATAAATAATCTTTGAAGACAAAATAACAATGTTGTTAGAACCGGACCGAACCGGCCAGTCGGACCGGTTCGACCGTGACCCGGAGATAAAGCGGTCCGGTCTGACATCTAAAACCGGAAAAAATGAAAACCGGGGTCAAATGACCAAAATCCGGTTCGAGCGGATAAAACCCGAGAACCAACGAGTCAGACAAGAAACCCGGTTTTCGGCCAAAACGTCTCAAATCACCGCTGAGTTGGTATTTTGTGGCTAAATTTTAGCGAACATTCACAGACTTAGTAGTGGGTGGCCGGATCTAGTCATGAGTGGTCGAAGGATTGTCGGATACGATCATGGGTGATCGAATAGGGGTGGCCGATTGCCGGATTTGAAGAATAAAAAATGGAAAAATATAGAGTATAAACAATAAAATATAGTAAGAGGTGAGGTGAAATAGATAAAAGTGAAAATAATAAGTAGGAGATTAAAAATATAAGGAAAATAATATTTTTAAAACATTAAAATTAATAAAATAGTGGCATATTAAAAAAAAAAAAAAAAACCTGGTTGAAGATAAAAGAAAAAATAATAAGTGCGAGATTAAAAATATAAGGAAAATAATATTTTTAAAACATTAAAATTAATAAAATAGTGGCATATTAAAAAAATCAAAAACCTGGTTGAACCGATTCGACCCTATAAACACATGACGCAAATAGTCATCCGATTCTATAGCCGGCCCGGTTATGAAAACATTGCAAAATAATACATATTCTTTTTCCTTTTTAAAAGAAATGGAGTCAAGTCAGATGGTTGGTAAAAGAGGTAAAGGGCAGTCTTGGGATATCAAAATTTTAGTTCACATTTGGGGATGAAACAAGGCTTGGAGGATGAAATTGAAGTTCAATAGAACCTCGGGGGTGAATTTGAAGTTGAGAACAAACCTTAGGGACGATTTTAAATTTTACCCTCAGAAAAGGTAAACTTAAGAATAATGTATCAACATGACCATCAATTCGATTGTGATCAACTTAAAACAATACCATATCATGTAGCCTTAGCCTCTGGTCAAGACATAAATCAGTTCCAAATAGTTAGAACAAGTAAAAATCAGTTTCGGGATTGCCTACGATCCGGTCCTTAAATCCTTAAAAATAATTTTATATCGAAAATAATATGTAGATAAAATCATCAGCTATACATATAACTTATAAGTAACAATTTCCTATTCCGCCGATTCTTGATTTAATTTCTCATCTACGCTATTGCTGCCAACCATACTGCTGATTTCTATTACCCCCCGGGGGGTTTTGGCCCCTTCCCCCAGAAACTCCGTATTGACCACTTTGCGTGTAATTAGGAGGAGCTACATATCCGCCACCTGTCCCACGGGGCCCGTTCGAAGGAGCACTATTTCCAGGATAAGGCGGGGGTCCTCGCCCCTGTGATGGATATGGTCCACTACTGTAAGCTCCACTTTGGCTTTGACTTTGACTTTGACCTTGACCCCCACGGTCTTGATAATAGCCCCCCGAGGCGCCACCTGGCGGGTATCTACCGGGCCCACCTCCAGGTGGGCCACGTGGCTTTCCACCGTACTGGTGATGACTTGGGATAGGGGGCTGAGAATTGTTGATCTGATTGGCGGGGCCCGTCCAGTGTGAGGGGTTTTGACCCCCATTTTGGATTGGAGGCAAGCGGGCGTGTTGCTGTGGATGCTGAAGCTTCTGCCTTTTCGCTATCTCCTCGTTTTGTCTTTGCTGCTGTCTTTTTTTCTTTGTCTGAAACTCGTGTGACGATTCGTATTTCGGCAAACTGAACGATCAATCATAAGAGTTTTGTCATCGTCATGTTTACGAGTATATTTACAGTCACAATAGCATACATTAGTACGGAAATACGCTATCAATGCCGAAATGATGAACATTTGAAGGAATATCAGTAAAGTTTAATCGGACATACGTTTTTGGGTCGCAAGGTAACGGATCGCTCCAGAAATATTCAGCATCTAGAGCATCCTTTGCCGAGATTCTCTTTGTAAAATTGAGATATAAGGAAAGAAAAACAACACAAGTTAGTATACATAAAGAATACTAAAATGGATGGAGATCTTTTCTTAGCAGGAAATCGAACAGAAATACATCATAAGAAAATAACTTTAGTGGATAAGTAATATACCTGAGAAGGATCAAGAACCAGCATTTTGTCCAACAAATCCAAAGCATGCCGATCAAAACTGCAAAAAAAATTACCATCCGTTCAGCACAACCCTAAAATCTGCAGAAAAGCAGTCGCAAGTACGAAAAGAACAAATTCCTAAAAAAATGGCTTCGTATGCTTAACTGCCTAAAAAGCTCGCGGATTCGCTTTTTCATTTGGCGAGCTGGCTTAAACTTGTTATACCAAGGGATCTTTGAAACACCAGGCCATATCAGCTCGTCGGGGGACCCGCAAAGCTCAAATATTTTATTCAACTGTTCAAGCTGCAATAACAGTGAATACAAAGAAAGATATATTGAGCTGATATTAGTAAAAAATTGGACTACACAAGACGAGAAACTAGATAAGCAGTATCAAAATATTCACGAAAAAATATTCAAATCATGCTGAACCCAATGTATACATTATTAAGTTATATGAACTAAATGAAAATATATATCAACAAAATTCGAGCCGTGGTCACTACCTCTTAAAATTCACCTACTAACATTTACCTAGCCCCTCTTATTAACCAGATTCTCTCTTGGAAATTAATTTAATACCCAAAATCTATTCCGAAAGCCAAGTACTACTTTACCAAAATTTATATTTTAGATATATGTCGAGATTCCAATCGGCTTTGGTTTTCAGATCATGTCAGTCTTATCCAATACCCTTCGATGGACAATTTTACCTGACACTTATTTTATGGAATATAATTATTTAATTACCTGATGATAATTATTTGAGCAATAATAAATTCTACGTAAATAGGAGAAAAATGCTTATTTCGGCGCGTAAATTCTATGTACGTAATCTTTTAATCTTCTACCCATATTATCCTTGTACATCAAGGGAATTCATAAGAAGGCAGCAAATTCCTCTGTAATACCTATTTTTTCATTTAAGGGATCCAAACCCCCCAGATTTAAGTAAAAAAACCCGTATTTTCAATCTGGAACACAAATTTCCAAACAGTTTGAAGACTTGTTAACGTAACCATGGACTCCCTAGCTTAATACCATATACAAAATTCTTCGTAAAACATTTTTTAGTTTACAGTTCATTTGTCCATTCAAAAAGAATCTATAAGTGCACTCGAGAGCAAATTATGAAGAAAACTCTCAACCAACCTTGTTCACAACATTAAAAAAATAACCCTAACCTCATTTTTTCCTGGTAAGATCGGTTTCCCATACAGCAGCTCAGCAAAGATACAACCAACAGACCACATGTCAACAGCTGGACCATACTTCGTGGCTCCAAAAAGCAATTCCGGAGGTCTTGATAGTCAACAACATAAAATGGAGACGCAATCTTAGTCGCTGACAGAACTAGGAAATTCGGATAAATTAAATATTAATGCTTAATTGGCGAATAAAGGACTTACCTATACCACAAAGTAATAACCCGATTTGTAAGATTAGCATTGACGTCATTTGAAAATGAACGTGCAAGTCCAAAATCTGCAAGCTTCAGATTTCCCTCGTTGTCAATGAGAAGATTGGAGCCTGCAGAAAGTATTTGCCACGTAAACGTTTTCCACTTAGGCCCCGTTTGGTTGCCAAGATAAGCCATGATTAACTAAATAGTTGGACTTAATTTGATGTTTGGTATCCTCAATAAATTGCCGGGTCGACCCGCCAAAATTATATAATCATGGCTTATCTTGCCTTCTAATGGGTTTTTTTTTTTGGACGTTTCAAGCTCCAATAAAATAATTGGGTCTCATTAGATTATTTAATCTTATCTTGGCTAATCTTATCTTGCCAACCAAACGGGGCCTTACGCAATTAAATATTCTGAACGTAACACATCAAATGCTCAAACCTTTTATGTCCCTGTGAAGCACTTGATTTACATGGCAATAATGAAGACCCGTGAGCAGTTGCTTCATGTAACACTGCAAACCAATATTTTACGAGCAAACTCTTTAAAATAGATAATTAAAAATAATATAGTTAATATTACAAAATTGTAGGAAGGATTATAATACTTTTATCTGTGGAATCGTAAATCTCAGTCCAGGACGATCTGCAAGGCCAGTCAAATCATGGTCCATATACTCAAAGACCATATATATGCTTCCCTTGTACTTATTATCGTCTGTTATTATATAAACGGATTATGTCGATGCAAATTCTCATTGAAAAATGAAAACGGGGGTTTCTCGTTATAGAAAGAGTAAAAGAGTTGTGCGATTACCATGACTTTCTTGCTCGTTGCTTTCACGGCCTACGCAACATATAAGAACAAAATTCAAATTAGAGATTGTATATCAGAGATAGCACACACTGAAATGGAATTGCGTTCCGATTTATAAAAAGAAGTACCAGGAGATGTCACTATCTCTTTCAGTTGAATGACATTTTCATGCTGTAGCTTCTTTAGAATTTTAATTTCTCGGATGGCAGTAATAGGGAACTACAGAGAAGAAAAAGAAAAAAAAATTGTGTCAGATATTTCATGTTCGAAAAAGTGGAGATCCGAACAAAAGCATTTTTCAATATAGGATATTGTAAAGGAGAAGAGAAATACCCCTTCTTTTTCATTGTCCATACGTATCTTTTTTAAAGCAACGATTTCTCCAGTTTCCTTTTCTTTGGCCATGTACACTTGACTGGGAGAGAAGGAAATAGAATAGCGAGGAACAAACACACACACACACGAAAAATCAGGAAATGAAATTGAATTAATTTTAGCTATACAAACAAAGCAAAGTGGTTTACATCGATGAACAATAAACGAGCATCGCTCCATACAAAAGGTAGAAAAGAACAAAGCTCAAATGTATTTTGAATTTTATTTTTGGATCTTCAATGTAGGACTCTAATATTCAATATCGAAGACGGTATTTGTGGAGTTCCAAAAATGTTGATAAGGTATAAGGAAAAACTTCAAGTTCATTAAATTCTGATTCTCGATAAGTACGTTATTTACGTGAAATCTACAATCAACATCATCAAACATTTATGAGCTCAAGATGTAATCTTTAAGGGAAAGCAATCATCTTGTGATTGACTTCGATAGCAAAATTAATGATTGTTTTACTTCTCTAACAACTAGAACCACATTCGAAACAAGTATAAGGCAAAATCGATTTAAAAACACAATAATAATTTTGTGAAAAAGAAATAAAGAGGACTTGAATAAAAACCATGACACCACTGAACCAAAACTTTTAAGAAAACAATTCAATAAAAACCAAATTATGGAAAAATTATTGCACAAAAAATCAGAAAATCTAATTAAAGGTAACTATTGCCTAATCACAATTCGTTAACCTATCCAGAAACTAAACCTATTTAAATCCATAGAAAATATCAACAACACCAAATTAGTGAGAGATTTCACCAATTTTTTTATCTGTAATTCTGTACTAAACTGCATAAAGAAAGAAAGAAATAAAAAAATTGATTTGCCCTAACCCATAAGTTCCTTCCCCAATCTGCTCGAGCTTTTCGAAACAATCGACGCTTCTAGAACCCCACGACGGCCACTTGTCCACATTCAGTAGATTATTCGCCGCCGCCATTAAAAATGGGTCACCGGATTTACTCTGGGTTGTGCGATGGTGTATACAAAATTAATAATTTGGAAAAATCGAATTCAACAATGGTGATTGGGAAGTGGAATTCGGGGGGAAGAGCTGCCGAAGCGGCGGAGGTTCTTTCCGAAGACGGTAAAGAAGTGGGTTTTCAAATAACAAATAAAATAAGTATTTTATCTGAATTTTATTTTTATCGGAGAAAAATAAATAAATAAATAAATAAATAAATAAATAAATAATGATAATAATAATAATAATAATAATAATAATAATAATAATAATAATAATAATAATAATAATAATAATAATAATAATAATAATAATAATAATAATAATAATAATAATAATAATAATAATAATAATAATAATAATAATAATAATAATAATAATAATAATAATAATAATAATAATAATAATAATAATAATAATAATAATAATAATAATAATACTTAATGGTGGTGGCTATTGCAATTTGCACGCATTTTTGAAATTTTAATATGTAGTTCCAAATACGATTAGGTGATCAAGGAAAAGTTCAACCCAAATAGCCCAGTTAAGGCTAAAGGGCTCCGTAGGCCCAAAAATACGGAAAAGCCCCATAAGCTGATAGCTTGCCAGGCGGGATGCTAGGTGAGGCCAGGGCCGGCCCACCTATATAAGCAAGTTGGGCCTTTGCGTAGGGCCCCAACTTCTGGGGGCCCCACCTAGTAATTATCTATTATATATATTTATATTATATATATAATTATTATTTATGTATGTTATATAGATATTAACATATTAATGAATATTTACTTTCAATGAAAGGGGCATTAAGATATAGGTATCTGGTGACAAAATTAATTTGAACTAAATGACAAGTCAAACTAAACTTTTGCTTCACATCCTTTATAAATTTCATTTCAAAAATGTCCTTCTATACAAAAAATGAAATATGCACCAAGTAATATTTAAATTGCATTTACCATTTTTTATTTAACATTTAACATTTTCATTTTTTTTCTTTTTCGTATTTTTTTATTTGTCTGATATAATATTGAAAATTAATATTTTCATATTCTTTTTAATTTTCTTTATATATTCTTAACTCCTATTTACTTGATTTTATCGATAAATGCAGAATATAAATTACAATATAGTCACCCATAGTTACGTAATCGTTTATAGTCATATATCCAACTTCATAGCACACTCTTAATATATGTATATCACTTTCATCCGTAGCAACCCATAGTCACTTGTAGTAATCTGTAGTAACCCATAGTCACTTGTAGTAATCCGTAGTAACTCATAGTCACTTGTAGTAATCCGTAGACAACTATAGTTATCCTAAAACCCTAGATACGCCCTCTTGAACCTTAGCTCCGATCTTTTGATTCACAACGCCGTCAGACCCCGTAGACCACTGTAGTCATTTTGAAAATTCTAATTTCACCCTTTTAAACCCGAGCGCCGCCAGCAGACGAAGATCAACCACCGTTGAGCCGTCATCGCCTCGTAAGAAATTAGACACACACGTACCATGAATTCACAACCAGCCCTAGTCGCCATTGAAAACGTGCAACAAGCAGATCAACGATGTTGAATCAACAACCCTTCCCTGCTACCCTATAACCAGACGCACAAACGGTGATGCAATCGCCCCTTCTGCACCAGACCTAGGCGAGTCGAGGTCCGCAGCGCCGCCGCGCAAAGCTTTTCCGGAATTGGCGCCATCGTTGGTTGCAGATCTGTTGTTCTCCTTTTCAAAACATCAAAAACAAATCTACTAAAGATACATAAAAAGAAAAAGAAAAAAAAACAGAGTAAAGGAAAAGAAAAAAAAAACCAGAGTAAATGGGAGATGGTGGGTGGAATAATATAGAACGATAAGAACAGAAATAGAGAAAAATGGAGGAGTTGTGGCGGCGCAAGAGAGAGAGAATTACGTGATATTTTATTAGGTATACTAAGGGTATTTTGGGATAAAAAAAAAATAAAAGGATGTATGGAAAATTTTGTTTTGAACTAAGGTATTCTAATTGAGGTTGTCATTCACATCTAATTAGGTTTGATTTAAGGGGTGTCAAACATATTACCCCTAAATGAAATACGGCTGACTTTGAAAAGGAAAAAATTGAGGGGCCCCATTCCATTTAATGTATAAATCCAACGTTCATTTGGACTTATTCCCAAATAATAAAGAGAATAATCAATGAACATAACGTTCACATGTATCTAGTCCCTATATATACTCTTTTCAATATCTCTCTATATCCCATGTTTTTTGCGTTTTGACTTTCATTTTGACTCTCTCTCTCTCTCTCTCTCTCTCTCTCTCTCTCTCTCTCTCTCTCTCTCTCTCTCTCTCTCTCTCACTTCTCATTATACATGTTTATTTGTCGTTATTTTATTTTTATTTTTTGTTTCTCTTTTCTCTTATAAAAACAGGCAGGTAAAATAAATTGCTATTTTTTCAATAAATTGTAAATTTTTGTTCAATAAATTGCTATTTTTTTTTGTTTTTGTTTAATGCAGATAATTATTTGGTGATTGCCTAGTTTCGATTTTGTTGGCATTCAACTTGCTATATTGCCAGGTTCTATCGTTTCTTGTCATTGCTAATCAATTTTTGATCTATTATGTCGAGTGGTAGAACATATTTATCTGGATGTGAAAAACGAAAAAAACAAGTAAAAAAAAATAGAAAAAGATAATGCAGTTCAAAGAAGAGTTATAGGAAAAATATTTGGTAAACATAATAAAAATGCTAGAAATGTAATTTCTATTAATGTTCAAAGTGATGATCTGATTAATGCTCAAAACAATGATACTATTGATGTTTAACATGAGAATCCAGTTGATATTGAGAAAAGTAGTCCTACTATTGATTAGAGTGAAATTCCTGTGCGAACATGAGACGTCCAGTGAACATATTAATAATAGGAATGATTGGATGAATTTAGAAGCAAGATTACGAAATAATAAGACAATTGATCATAGTATACAAGAAAAAACATAAAAAAAGAAAAGGAACATTGGAAACAAGTATTAAAGAGAATTATTGCGGTTGTTAAAACTTTAGCTAAAAATAATTTGGCTTTTCGTGGGACAAATGAAAAAATTTATGATGATAACAATGGAAATTTTTTAAGTCTAATTGAAATGATTGCTGAATTTGATCCTATAATGCAAGAACATCTTAGGCGTATTAAAAATGGGGAAATGCATACTAATTATCTTGGCCATAATATACAAAATGAATTGGTGCAAATGCTAGCTTGTGAATTAAAAAACAATATTATTAAAAGAATTAAAATGGCTAAGTATTTTTCTGTTATACTTGATTGTACTCCGGATACTAGTCATCAAGAACAAATGTCTCTTATTTTAAGAAGTGTGAATATATCTACTACCCCAATTAAAATAGAAGAATATTTTGTAGACTTTTTTAAAATAGATGATACAACGGGAAAAGGTATTTTTTATGTACTTTTAAATATAATAAAAGATCTTGGACTTGATATATATAATGTGAGAGGACAGGCATATGATAATGGTGCAAACATGAAAGGTAAAGAACAAGGTGTTCAAAGAAGATTGTTAAATATAAACCCTAGAGCATTTTATACTCCTTGTGGTAGCCATAGTCTTAATTTAGTAATTTGTGACATGGATAATTCTTGTCCTAGAGCTATATCTTTCTTTGGAGTTGTACAACGTATATACACTATATTTTCTAGTTCTACAAAGAGATGGAAAATATTGATGGACAATGTAAATAAGTTAACGCTTAAACCATTGTCACAGACACGGTGGGAAAGTCACATTGAAAGTGTAAGAGCCATTCAAAGTCAACCAATCAAAATTAGAGATGCTTTAATTGAATTGGGAGAAACTAGTTTAGATCCTAAAATAAAGAGCGAAGCTAGATGCTTAGCCACTTATGAAATTGAGAATTTTGAATTTTTACTTGGCATGAATATTTGGTTTGAGTTACTATATGCTGTTAATTGTGTTAGCAAAAATTTACAATCTAAAGATATGCACATTGATTATGCCATAGAACAATTAGAAGGTCTCGTATCATTTTTAGAGGATTTTAGAGTCAATGGGTTTGAATCTACTATTAATGTTACTAAAACAATTGCCTTGAAAATGGGAATTGAACCAATATTTCGCGAAAAACGCGTGATTCATAGAAAAAGAAAATTTGATGAGAACCAAAATAATCATACTATATTATCACCCGATGAGTCATTTAGAATAGAGTATTTCTTATATATTGTAGATCAAGCTATTTCTTCAATTAAAGTTAGATTCGACCAATTTAAATTTTATCAAAATACTTTTGGATTTTTATTAAGTATAAAAGCTTTGAAGTCTTTAGATGACAACACTTTGAAAGAAAGTTGTATTAGTCTTGAAGCTTTCTTAAAACACAACTCAATGTCTGATATCGATGGTTTTGATTTATATTATGAACTAAAAGTGTTAAGAAAAGTCATACCTAGTGAAATAGAAAAACCCATTGATATACTTAATCATATCAAATTAATTGATTTTTATCCAAATACGTGTATTTGTTATCGAATAATATTTACTATACCTATAACCGTTGCTTAGGCCGAAAGAAGTTTTTCAAAATTAAAATTAATAAAAACATATTTACGTTCAACTATGTCCCAAGAAAGATTAAGTGGATTGGCTATTTTATCTATTGAAAAAAAAATGTTAGAAGAACTAGAATATGAAGATTTAATTAATACATTTTCATCTATTAAAGTACGAAAAATAAATTTTAAATAATATTTTTTGATAATTAAAGGGCCCCGTTTTTTTGTTTTGCCTAGGGCCTCCAATAACCTAGGGCCGGCCCTGGGTGAGGCACATTGGAATAGGAAGCTCCCGCTCGCTTATCCTCTTGCATAGGCTCAGTATCCTCTCGCCTCCCCCACCTGTTAGTCGCACGTGGAGGCATTTAATGCATGTCCAATTCACTGACAAGTGTAGAGGAATGTTCTCCCTGTTCTCTACTTTTTGTAGGGGCAACCGCCAGTGAAATGACGGATTAAACTGTATTGAAAGTAATTTGAAGTCCGTAATATTTTATTACAGTGATTAGACTGTTAAATCAGATTGGAGAA